ACTTGAGGTGCATGTGTATGTATGTGTGTATCTCCAGGTCAGTTTGTCATACCAATATGCCATATACAAAAAGAAGTTGCTGTTGCATTCATTCCACCCCGTAGTAACTCCTTACAGGCTTAGGGCAGCACTTTATTCCATTGAGTTGTCAGTGGTTGTTTTTGTCACAATCAGATCACTAGACCTTTTTTTCTGAAGCCTCCAAGTGGACTTGACCTTCTAACTTCTTAGTTAGCAGTCAAGCCCAGTAAACATCTGTATCCAAAGTATCCAAAGACTCCCAAGTAAATAGGAATATTATGATTGTGCAAAATTTCCACACAAATATATAATTGATACGCTCACTCATGCATGAGTGCATATGTCCATGTAAATGTGCATTTACATTCCCTGTTTTTCTTTTCTGAAAATGAGCTTTTCATACCTTCATACTCTGGGATGTGCATGTACACACACACACACACACACACACACACGTTTCCAACGTCTTTATTTATTGTACGGAAGGAGAAGGGAAGGGCACAGCTCTAGTCAGGATGAAGCGAATTCCAAGTAAATTGCATCAATAGGACTTTTTTTTAAAAGCACACAAAGTAACTCTAAAACAATTTACACTTTTCAAAACATCATGAAACACATGGGGCTGTGTATGAAAATGTATACTCAGCAGCATCTTGTACAAATGATCCAAACTCAAGTCTATTTCCTCTTCTATTCAACCCTAGCCTCCTCCCAGATCCAGAAACCAAACCACAGTGCCTGTGGATAAAAGAGAGAGGAAAGGGGAGAGGGAGAGAGAGGGAGGGAGGAAAGGAGAGAGAGAGAGAGAGGAGAGAGAGGAGAGAGAGAGAGAGAGAGAGAGAGAGAGAGAGAGAAAACATTGATTGAAAACAAGGCATCAAGTGGTCTCTTGCCTCCAATTCAAGGTTAGGTGAATCAAGAGAGTTTATTTGGCCTCAAGCACTTAATCATTTCATTCCTCTTTCTGATTTCTTTTTGAGTCATTAGAGGATAGAATCCTCACAGAGACTGAAGAGGGGTCTTATTTTCTTCCTAGTTATTACTCCTAGATTCCCTTGCTCAATGCCCAATGCATATGTTGTACCAGATGGCTTCGACTCTTGGTGGCCGACTCAGCTGCTCAAGAACATGGCTGTGCTTAACCTCATCAATTTGACTCTGCTTCAGTTCATCCCGGGGTATGAGTGTGATACCGATCAGTTTAATTAGTTTAATGAGGGCTCAGGGAGCTGGTCCACATTTTTAATTTGTTGTACAGAACAAATTGGCTCCCTCCTTGATCGTTTCAGCATTCAGAAGGAGAACGGCTCTCAATTCATCATGTTCTACTCTGTTACATGGGTTTGCTACGGGACCCCACAGCACCTCACGACAACCTCTACTTTGAGGAATTGAGCACTGTCCAAGGAACTAATGTGAACTGGAATCAGAGAATCAGTTCATCATGAGGTGTGTTCTGACATAATGAGAAGTCTAAATACATCAAAGGAGCAGTTTGCCAAACCTCACTGCTGTAGAGTCAGTTCCAGCTGATAGTCACCCTCCATCAGGTGTCAGATGCTGTTAGTTACAGTGGGAGGAGACTGCTTGTCTTTCTCCCTCGGAGCTGCTCATGGATCCAAGCCACGGGAGGCGCGCAGCCTTGAGTTATCAGCAAGGCAGTCTATGGACCCCACCACTAGCGCTCCCTTTGAGCCTAATAATGCAAGTCTCAGATCTCTAGTGCATGAATTCTTGCTCCAATAGACCACATAGTATTTAAGCTTTTCTCCCCCTTAAATATGGTCTCAAAAGTGAAGAATACAAGGGGTTTCTTTGATGTCTGGTAGTAAAATATTAGAATTTCTACTTATGTTTATCTTATTGTAAAAGGAAGACATGCTAATAGAACTGATAGACAAATTTACTCACCAACCACTAATGCCGAAGAGGAAGGTTCTCCGCCCCGCCCCCTGCAGTCTGAAATTAACCAAATGTGCATCCAAGATGCATTGATAATTACTGGTGACAGAAATGAGAAAGTTGGAAACAAAGAAGGATCAACAGTTGGGGATAAAATCAAGCTTTTGGGATAAAAACAACTTTGGAAATCTTATGACAGAATTTTGCAAGAACAATGTTTTATTCATTGAAAATACTTTTCTTCAACAATGTGAATGGTGATGTGGATCCTGCTAGCTGGAATACACTGGCATCAAATCGACTATTATCTATGGAAAGAGATCATGGAGAAAGTCAATGTCATTGATAGAACAAGATCAGGAGCTGACTGCAGAACAGACCAGCAGTTGCTTATGTGTCAGTTCACACTGAAGCTGGAAACAACCTGAAGTCCATGAGTCTCTCCCACTTGAAGTGAGAGACTATTTCAAGAATAGACTTGACAGATTGCACGCAAACAACTAAAGACTGACCATCAAGGACATCATACATGAAGAAAGCAAAAAGTCACTTATAAAGGAAAGAAAAAGACCAAATGGATGTCAGGAAAAACTTTGACTCTAGAACAAAGGCTAAAACAAAGCGAAGAAGTGATGAAGAAAAAGAGTTGAACAAAATACTATAATGAAATGTGCTAAGATGTGGAGCTAAGAACCAAAGGAAGAATGCATTTCTCTAGCTGAAAGAACTTGTGTTGCAATATCCACTTCCTAAACAACATGCCTCTGGAAACCCTATGAACTTTGGTAAATGACGATAGTTATAGAAAGGCTTCAGGCCTTTTGTTCATAGGGTCACTATGAGTCATGCTCGATTTGACAAGCAACCAACAACAATATGAGCAAAATATTAAACAATGCAGAAAGCATCAAATGAAGATGGAAGAAATAGCCACTCTATTGAAAAGAATTGATAGACATACAAACATTTCGGGAAATAGCGTGTGGTAAAGAGCTGATGGTACTAAAGAAAGAAGTCTTAGCTGTACTGATGACATTGGGAAAAAAATGAGGCTCTAGAAATTGATGAAAAACCAGTTGTTTCAACAAATTGCAACACTGGAAGTCCTCATTCATCCACACTGAGAAATTTTGAAGACATCTAGTTAATTGACTAGAAGAGACCCATTCCAAGAAAAGTGAACCAACATAATGTAGGGATTATTGAACAATACCATTAATGTCACATGTGAGTAATTTTACCCTAGGGATAATTCAAAAGCAAGCACATTGATAGGGAACTGCCAGGCAATCAAGCTGGACTCAGAAGAGGACATGGAATGACGGAAATACACGTATCATATACATGCTGATGTCATATAAATGCTGAGGTCAGATAAACATCAACTGCACAAAAAGAAAACCAGAAAGATGTTTACTTGTGTTTTATTAACTATGAAAACACATTTGACTGTGTGGATCATAACAAACAATGCATAACACTGAAAACAATGGGAGTTCCAAGAACATTTAATTATGCTCATGTAAAACCTGTACATAGACCAAAAGACTGTTGTTTGAACAGAAGATGATACCGTGTGGGTGGAAATCAAGAAAGGTATGTGTCAGGGTTGTATCTTGTCACCATATTTATTCAGTCTGTATGAAGAGCCAACAATCTGAGAAGCAGACTATACAAATAACTATATATAATGATGACATACAATGTCAGGATTAAAGGAAGACTCCATTAACAACCTGAAATCTGCAGACGACACAACCTTGCATGTTCAAAGTGAAGCACTCACTTGCAGCCTCCTGTATAGATTAGACTTTAACATAAAAGGAAACAAAAATCCCTACAACTGGACCAGTAAGCAACATCATGACAAAGACGAGAATGATATTGTCAAGGATTTACTTTTCCTTGGATTCACAATCAACATTCACGGGAGTAGCCATAGAGAAATCAAATGATACATCGGATTGAGCAGATGTGCTGAAACAATTCTCCTTTAAAGTATTAAAAAGCAAAAATGTTGTTCTTGAAGACTTAAATGCTCCGACCCAAGTCATGGTCCCTTCAGTCATCCTGTTTGCATGTGAAGACTGGAAAATGACTACGGGGAACCCAAGAAGTGACTGCTTTTACATTGTGTTGACAAAGAATATTGAACATACCAAGGCCTTCCAGGAGAACGAACACATTCATTGTTAAACTGGTACTGCCATGATGGTCATTGGAAGTGAGGATGGTGACATTTTGTCTCGTGTCTTTTGGACAGGTTATCAGGAGGGAACAGTCCCTCCGGAAGGACATCTTTCTTGATCAATAAAAAGAGGAAGATTTCTGATAAGATGCATGGACACAGTGGCCATAGCAGCAGTGAGTGTGAGGACGACACAGGACTGGGTAGTATTTTATTCTGTTGTATTTAAACACCTTGTTCTGCATTTCTACCTTCAGTGTATTTCATGATACTTGTATGTAATACTGAAGGGAATCTATATCATATGAGATCCCATGGAGGGATGCTCGTGTTTCTTCTGAGAAAGGGATGTGATCAGTAAATGTTGGAATTCCTAAATGTTTTAACTAGGGAGCTCTGGTGGCCTAGTGGTAAGGCGCTGTGCTGCCATCTCGAAGGCACATGGTTCGAATCCACCAGCTGCTGTGGGGAAAAGATGGGTGATCTCTTCCTGTGCGATGTACTGCCTCTGAAAACCCACTGGAGGGTCAGCTATGGGTCAGTTCGTACTGGACGGTACACAACAACAAAAGCTATAAAGCGTACGTCTCTAAATCACTGGAATTTGGGGCATATCAACAGGGTGGAGGAATTGCTTTTTTAAAAATCGCCCATGGTAGGGTGATTTTAGAGATGTGGTGGTCTGGGACAAACAGCCTACAGAGAGTGGGGGAACCTTCTTCCTTCCTCACCAGTGACCCCAGAAGAGAAGCAGGCAGGGTTTGGATGTTTTGTAGAAAGTGCTAGAGTGAGCCTGGTGATGGAGCACGTACAGGAGGACAGATGAATGCACTCCAACCTAGAAGGGTCTCAGGGGTAACTCCCCACACCCTCAGCTTGGGGCAGGTGTCTACACATTGAACAGCTCTCCTGAGTAGGCGTTCGGGTCTTCCTGAGACCGAGTTACCACCTTGAACTGGCGCCGCAGGAAACCACCGTAGCGTTTCTGGTTGTTCCACTTGAGCTTGGGACGAATGCGCCGCAAGAAGCCCCCGTAGCGCTTGTACAGGTCTTCATGGGCTGCTGCCCCCTCCCCGTCACCCTCCCCAGCCACCTCCGAGCTCCTTTTGGGGTACTTGCGCAGGAAGCCCCCATAGCGTTTGACCTGCTCCTTGGGGTCCTCCTCGTCAGATCCCAGCGCCCTGGCCTCCATCATGCCGTCCTCTGCCTGCTCATCCCCCAGCAGCTCAGATTCTGCTCCCTCCTCGCACCTCTCCAAGAGTCCCCTGAGCTTCTCCTCCAGATTCTGGCTCAGGGCATCCTCCCTTGACGGAGTGGTGGGGGGAGATTTCATTTTCTCCAGCTTCTTCAGGAAGGATTCAGCACGCTCAGCCAGCTCACCGTAGGGATCTTCCAAAACAGCCCTGTTCTCCAAGGCCCCCTGGCCATTGAGCCCAAGGGCGAAGGGGGTGAAAGCAGACAGGAAATCCTGGCATCTCCCCCACTCCCCAGAGGGCAGTAGGTGGGCCTGGCATTCCAGAGAGCAAACCTGCAACAGATCCAACAAGATCAGAGGGGTCACATCACCCCCATCAAACCTCAAATCACACGCATCCTTCCCGCCCCCACAGGGCCAGTGTCCAGTGTCAAAGACGACGGAGCTGCCGTCGCTAAGCACGGGGCCATGCCCTGTGGCTAGCGTCGTGTATTAAATGCTTCCAGTCATGACTGCACGGAATCATCCTCACACTGCACCCGTGCACTGCCCACCAGACACTGGGGGCCTGGACATCAGCCTTCCTGCTGTTATGAGGAAGGTGTGTGGGGCAGCAGGACTCAAAGCAAAAGTGAAGCCAGGCCAAGAGATGCTAAGACTCAGGAGCGATGCCAAGGCTTTGGTCACGTCTTTCAGGATCGTCAGGAGTAGAGACAGAGCTTCTGTGACAGTGGCTGGATTTGTAGATATCTAGTGGAGTTCTGGTGTCTTAATGGTAAGAATCTGCCCTGCGATCTCGAAGGCATGCAGTTCGAATCCACCAGCTGCTCCTCAAGAGAAGGATGGGGCACTCTCCCCCCCGTGTGATTAACTGCTTTTTTTTAAATTTCTTTTCCTTTAATTTATGTTTTATTTCATTCACTCATTGTTGTACAGATTAATTGCTTCTGAAAACCCACCAGAGGGTCAACTATGGGTCAGTTCCAACTCGATGGTACAAAACAGCAACAACAGCAGTGGAATTAGGGAAAACTGGTGGCTTCAAGGTAAGAAGCTGTGCTGCAATCCCAAAGGCATGTGCTGCTCAAATCCCAAATCCACCAGCTGCTCAATGGGAGAAAGGTGGGCAATCTTCTCCTGTGTGAGCTTCTGCCACTGTAAACCTGCTGAAGGGTCACTTATGGGTGGGTTCCAACTTGACACAAGCAAGAAATAGAGGGAGGGAGCTCTGGTGGCCGAGTGGCAAGAAATTGCACTGGCAACCCAAAGGCACTGGGTTCGAATCTGGGGGAGAAATAGGATCAATCTCCTCCTGTGTGCTTAACTTATTCTGAAAACCCTCTGGAGGGTCAGCTATGGTTGGTTCCTCATAGCTGGGACCAACTATAAAGCTGGCTGAGCCAGCTCAAGTGGAGAGAAGCCATGAAAAGGTCGCCCTGGGCTGCTAATTCAAAAATGAGCATCATTTCATGAATAAAACTTCTGATCACTGGCTCTGATGGTCTAGTGGATAAAAGGCTGTACTACCAACCCACAGGTAAGCAGTTCAGATCTACCCGCTGCTCCATGAAATTTCCTCCCATGTACTTTACAGCTTCTGGAGACCCTCTGGAGGGTCAGCTGTGACTTAGTCATCACCCAATGGCACGTAACAATAACACTGCCAGGCACAGGCTCCCTGGGAGTCCAAGCATCTTGCTGGACCGGAGTGAGCCTGTGTGTGGGGAAGTGTTGGTCTCCAGGTTGTCCAACAGACAGGACAAGCCCTGCGCAGAGAGGTGTGTCTAAGAGCAGACCCCAGCATCCCCAGCCTCCACACCCAGGACCAGTCTCTCTGCTGGCTCAGGGGTGTCAAAGACTCTGCTTGCCACCTACCAGGGCATTAATGGGCTTGGGCTCATCCTGGGTCTTCACTGCACACAGGGAACACGAGGACAGGCAGTCTGCCATGACGGAGGGGAGGGCGAGGAGGCACGCTGCCAGCAGGGTACCCTGCCAGGTCATTCTGTCACGACGGTTTCTGCTGGAAAGAAGAAGAGACGATGGTAAGCTGGGTGAGTGTGTCCACTGGCACTGTGTCCTGTGCCTTTGGGAGTCCTGTCATGGACTCGTGTCAGCGGCACTACAAGGGGAGCATTCTTATTCTCATTCTACAGTCGAGAACATGAATGGAAACTCGGCAAGGTAGAGTGTAGGCCAAGGCCAACAGTCAAGGACGGGCAGAGCACATCTAAGAACGACAGGAATGACACATACCCAGGGGCCACGTGTGAGAGGGAGGAGTGGCCAATGAGCATTTCCATTTTCCATGCAGTTGCCATGGCCGGCTGTGGGAAGTCAACTGAAAACACCTTATATATGAGAGGCTCCAGGTTGTTGCTTGTCATCAAGTCAGAACTGACCCAGGACTGGCCTTCCAGGGGGGTTTCAGAGGCAGTAAATTGCACTGAAGGAGACTGCCCAACCTTCTCTCATGAAGCAGCTGGTGGATTCAAACTGCGTGCCTTTGGGATTGCAGCGCAGCTTCTTACCACTAGGCTACCAGAGCGCCCTGTGAGGCTACAAGGGTCAAGACAAACTGTGCATTTTCTCTGCTGAGTGTAAAAAGAGAAGAAACTGGGTGGGGCAGCGTGGGGAGGCAACTCACAAGAAAACCTACTGATTTTGAGCAGGTCGTGAACTAATTTTGACCTGTGACTGGAGGGAAGGTAGAGTTGTCATTTTCACGCAGTGCTACAATGTGTTAAGTAAAAGATGAACTCGTTAGACTTGTGCTTTTGAGCTGGCATTGTGGCTACGTTACCTAAAAGATGGTGTCAGATATTTGGACAGACATTCAGTACTTGCCATAGGCACTCTGTTCCATAAACACGTCTCTGAGGGAGGGAATTAGCATGTGCCAAAACTCACTGTGTGTTACACGTTCATGTTCAATCTTCCCAGCAGCTCTTCAAGATGGGTTTTATTGAGCAGATGGGGAAGTTGAGGCTTAGAGAGGGGATGGCGTGATGGGTCACAGAGCTACAAAAATTACAAGCATAGACTTGGCCTCTGCCAGGCAAATTTCAAATCCCTTGAGCACCCCTCACTCAGGCTAGAAGACATTTCACTGTGTGCCTTTCTGGCTTCCACCCCGGCTCCCTGCCTTATCCCCTGTCCTCCAGGCTGGAACCCATTCAGTTCTTTCTGCTCTGACAGGTCCTGGGATTTGCCTTTTCCACCCCAGAAATGCTACCTGTGCCACCGATATTCTCTCCTTCACCCCCTTTCCTTGCTGGTCTCCGTGCCTCCACCCTTCCTGTGGTTCTTCCTGTCACCCTGAAATATCCTCAGCACATCCCTCCAGCACATCAGATCCTTTACGCTGGATCAGCCTTGACTCTTCTGCTTAAATGCCAGACATCCTCAATCTTCTCCTGTGCTCCAACCTTTCAGCTCTCGGATTCAATTACACTCCAATACCAGGCTGCTATTTGGAGGGAAGGATTTTGAAACTTCATCTCATATACTTTGTGCATGTTGCTAGGAGGAACCAGTCTTGGAAGAGGGACATCATGCTTGGGAGGGGGAGGGACAGTGAGGAGAGGAAGACCTTGGATGGGATGGATTGACTCCGTGACTGGGGTGATGGGGGTAGGAGTGTCAGAGACAACGAGGTTGGCTCAGGATAGAGCTCAGGACAGGTTTCAAAGCTGTTGTGCATAGGGTTGCAAACGACTTGACACACGTAACAACAGCAACAACTTGAACCTTCTCTCATTCTGTTCCTCCTGTCTGTCCTGTTCTGATCCTGTCTCTCCCCCTACTTGTTGCTTTTTGACCTGGGATCAGAGGCCCCTTCTCTAGGCAGCTTTCCCTGATGTCTTTGAGGGAAAATGTTCTCCCTGCTCGTTATGCTTGTTCTATCAGATATCCCACTGTGTAGAAATCAACAATGTGTGTCTTCAGGAGCTGTGTCTTGTAATCTTCTTTGAAATATGCCTTCAGACATCAAACCTGTTTCTACCCCAGGGCTTTTTTGAAAAAAGATATCTTTTTCTCTCTTATTTATTCATTGTCATACATTTTATCTGCCCTTCCCACCCACCCACCCCCACCAGCCCATCCGGCGGCAATGCACACTCCTTGTTCCAGATCCTTTACATACATATAATGCATAATCATTTATCCCTTTCAGTTCTTCCTGTCATCTGATTTAATGCAATGTTCATTGCAGAACCCCTGTGTCTGTCCTGTTTTATAACAGCGATGTTATGCAGTATTTATCCTTTAGTGCCTGAGATATTTCACTTCACATAATGTCCTCAAGTCTCCCCCATGTTGTGTAATGTTTTACTATGTCATTGTTTTTCAATGGTGCTTTCTCAAAAAGGGTCAGCCATGAATTTACTCCAATTTTATGATATATAACAACAACAATAATAGCAACAATTGACATTAACAGACACTGGGGTATGAGATGAGTGTAACACTGGCCTGTGATGGTTAAGACTCTGTGTCAGCTTGGCTGGGCCATAATTCTTAATGTAATATAACGTGCAGTTATGTAATGACAATGATCTGATGTATTCACCCTCCATTTTCACATAATGACCTGGTCTTCAGAACTGAGTCATGTCAGTAAATAAGCAGTGGATGCATCTGGCTTTTTCTTATAAGTAGATAGACTAGATTTCCTGTCACCATACACAGGGAGCCTTTGGGGCCTAGTGGTAAGGAGTCGTGCTGCCAGCCCAAAGGCACATGGTTTGAATCCACCAGTGGCTCTGCAGGAGGAATATGGGTAATATCTTCCTGTGTGGTTTGCAGCCTCTGAAAACCTGTTGGAAGGTCAGCTATGAGTTGGTTTCAACTTGATGGCACATAACAACAGCAAAAACAACATTACCAGACAAGCATTTGCTGTATTTAATGTAACTTCTTCAGCCATCAGAAGAAATAAGATTATTGTTACACGAGGGGGTTACAGCTACTGTCAACAAACAAGACATATATGAATTATTGAATAAAGAATGAATTTGCTCTGTAAACTTTCAAACAAAACACAGCATTTTAGAAAAGCCAAACAAAACGTGCAGGAATGATTGACTGGGAAACCACTTTATGAAAGATTTATATAAGGAAGCAGTTCATTAATTATCACCACTGTCTAGCTCTGGACTATGTACTATAGAAACATACAAAAGGGGGAAGACCCACAGTGTTAAAGCTTGTTGTTAGGTGTTGTCGAGTCAAGTACGACCCATAGTGAGCCTATGACTGTGAACAGCAGATCTGAACCCTGTCCTGTTTATGCTAAATCTGTTGTTCTTGCTGTGTACTGTACAGTCGGAACAGACTCCTAACTGACCCTCCAGTGGGTTTTCAGAGGCAGTTAATGGCACAGGAGGAGACTGCCCATCCTTCTCCCGTGGAACAGCTGGTGGCCTCGAACTGCATGTTTTTGGGATTACAGCATAGCTTCTTGCCACTAGGCCACCAGAGCTAGGGAGACTGAAAAATCATTTACACTTCGCTGAATGTGGTGAAGTGAGAGCTTTCGTATCTGAGAACTCTTGCTCAAATACTAATTAGAAATATTGTAAATATTGAAAAAGATACACATTCTCATGGCATTTCTAAATTTCAAATGTACCCTACATGCTCTGTCCTCACCTGCCCATTACTGCTAAATGAGGTGATTTGCATGAATTTCTGAGTTAGGATAATTTGGTGCTGTGAGTGGCCAAATTAAAAAAAAGAAAACCAACTCAAAACATTTCCCAGGGTTTAGAAAATATTCCCGAAAGCTCATCAGCTGTGCTTCCGCCCCTTCACGAACCGCTCTTAAGTCTCTCTTATCCACTGAGATGGATCTGTGTTCTAAATTTGAAGGGCACAGCGTTGAACAATCTGATTATCTAAAACCAAAGCAAAGATGCTTTAAAAAACACACACACACACAAAAACCCCACCTAACAATCCATCCAGCTATTCAGAATCGTTTCCATCACAACTCATTCTTGCCTGAGTCATCTGAGTTTTGCAGGTCACTTTGACACAGAGAAGCAGGCTCAATTTCCTACTCAGGTAGAGAGATACAGATAAGGCGTTTCAATTCAATATTCTATTAGTGTCTTTACCTTGTAGATGCTGAAGAAAAAGGACTCAGAGTTGGTGTTATGCCTGCTTTTTCTCCCTAATGCTTTAACTCACATATATCTGTAATGTGTACACATAGCATTGTTACAGTCTTGCTTCTATCAATCACAGATGCATAAGTTACTTATAGCATGATTTATAGATAGAAATTCTCTGAATTTAATTGTCAAAATCTAGGCTCAGTTAATAAGGACGTCAAAGAACTGATGCCTTTGAATTGGGATGGTGGCAAAGAGTAATGCAATATCCCATGGAACACTATACGAGCAAGTAAATCTGTCCAGGGGTAGGGGCAAGTGCAACCAGAGGGCTTCTTGGAGACAAGGATGGTGAAACTCCATTTCCCATATTTTGGGCTATTCCTTTGGAAAAGACCTCAAGCTGGAGAAGGTAGAGAGCCGGTGAAAGAGAGAACAACCCTCAATGAGATGGGTTGACACAGCGACAATGATGGGCCCTAACACATCAGAGATGATGAAGATGGGACAAAGATCAGATCTGGTTTCATAGGGTCACTGGTGGTCCTCGACTCAGGGCGCCTAACAGACTTAGAAGTATGTGAAGAGTGTGACCGACAATCTTTAGGTCGACTTTGTGCTTGTAAACCAATGCGGCATATGTTGTTGTTATGTGCAGTCAACTCATAAACATCTCATAGTTCATAAACATCATACAATAGCTCTAAACGCTGCCCTTTTCTGAGCCAATCTATCTCATTGTCTCTGCCAGACCTACTCCTGTTTCTCTAGTTGCTGTGTCAGTCCATCTCATCCTGGGTCTTCTTCTCCTGCACTGACTGTCCCTCCACCCCCACAAGCATCATGTCCCTCTCCAAGGACTGGTTCCTCTTCCTGGCGATATGC